ATCAAAGAGTTAAAATAATTTCATAATGTGTGCGTCTCGTTAATACATTAAATATTAAACATCAAATGGTTAATGGGCCAGCATCCATCAGTTTTCAAAGTGTGGAAAATCTTCCAGCCATCAGACACACTTGTCGAATACTTAACCTAGTGACCCAGGGATAGAACTATTAATAACTACCTGGAAATCTGACAAGAAAAAGGAGAGTGAGGACGCTTCTTTACAAACGAATTTAATTTCTTTTTCCTTATTTCGAAGAAACTAAACATTGAAAACCAAGCCAGGTGAAACCAAGCACTGCTAAATCAAACGGTTTTCTCTATCCTCGGGCAGGTGGGAGATTTCATGACGCTACTGAGAAAGGGGAGTTATTTAAAACATCAATTTTTTATTACTTGAATTTTCATTTAATATTTTTGGACCGCGGTTGAAGGGGGTAACTGAGACGGCGGAAAGCGAAACTACAGACAAGGAGGGAGAGGTTACTGCAGTTAGAGGGAGGAAAGTAAGGTCAAGTCACAGGCTGGTATCACCGAACAACTGAAGGACTCCTGAGCCGACCATAGGCCTCGTAACCGGGGAGCTGTTGAGAAAATAGTTGGGCCTTTTAGAAAGGGAGCCACAGCGCACAAAGCATTTCATCTGGAATAGGAGTAAAAGTTGAGTATCAATGGTTACAAGTTGTTAAAGGTTAAACTCCTGAAAAGCAACAAAAATGCACAGGCTCCGTCTTTTCTCCATTAGTGTGCTCCTTTGATCCCCTCCTCTGCTGAGCCCTGGGGCTGCTCAGGTAAACAGACACGGTTTGTCACCCATAAGTCATACACAGGTAACAGAAACACCTATATGTCATACATATGTAACAGAAACAAAAGTTGCATGAACTATTCCTTACTGGTACCACACACACTGCATTCTCATTATTTCCGATTCCAGTCCATTCTAACTGAAATCTAACATATCTTTCACTTATGAATATAGGTAACAAACCACAGGCGAAAGAGAAGTACCTATGGCTCTGTCACCAAGAAAAATCACATATTTTCATATCACAATACAGTTGTTACAAATATCCAAGACAATTAGTTCAAAATTACAGCAGTCATAAGCCGGCCCCTGCCAGCTTAATTACCATTTCAAGATTTTGTTGGACAAATAAAAGAGAATTTAGCTTTAGCAGTCAGCAAACCTTAGAATTTGGGGACAGGCCGGGCGCGGTGGCTCACGCCTGTAATCCCAGCACTTTGGGAGGCCGAGGCGGGTGGATCACGAGGTCAAGAGATCAAGACCATCCTGGTCAACATGGTGAAACCCCGTCTCTACTAAAAACTACAAAAAATTAGCTGGGCATGGTGGCGCGTGCCTGTAATCCCAGCTACTCAGGAGGCTGAGGCAGGAGAATTGCCTGAACCCAGGAGGCGGAGGTTGCGGTGAGCCGAGATCGCGCCATTGCACTGCAGCCTGGTTAACAAGAGCGAAACTCCGTCAAAAATACACGACGCTCAAAAAAGAATTTGGGGACAGGGATGGGGACAAGGACAGATAGGTGGGTAACAGAAAATTCTTACAAACAACTAGGGAGAGCTACAAGGAGCGGCGTTCGGGGTTGGGGATGTAGCTCAGTGGTAGAGCGCATGCTTCGCATGTATGAGGCCCCGGGTTCGATCCCCGGCATCTCCAAGTCCTTTTATGCCTGCCCAATACAATTAGAAACTGTATTTCGAAATATCAAGTAATATTTTGTATCCTCCACTTCATTAACTCCTTATGGTGCTTTTGTAGCCACTATGTGTAGAACTGCATATGGAGCATGGGGAACAAGATTGCTTTGAGGTATTTTGAAATATCTACGTGAAACATGGAATTGAGACATGGAGAAAAATGCCCGATGGAGAGATGACAGAAGAGAAGAAACCTGGAAAGTTGTCCGGAACCCATTAATTTGCTCTATTTGTGGTATATGGTTGGCCTTTAGCGCAGAAATAATCTTGGCTTAAGAATACGGAAAGAGGAGGGACGACGGAGTATTGTTAGTCCTGTGCGCCATAGGATGATGAAAAAATAGGACAAATATCGAGAGAAGGATGAAGCTCAGTTCAGCACTGGTGAATTTGGCTACTCTGGTACACCGTTCTTCCGTAGGGGAAAAACAAAAGAAAACAAAACAAACAAACCCCGTCCGAAACACCGATGCACTTCTTGATGTCGTTTTCAAAATCTGTCAGACGTGGGTGGCCGGTTAGCTCAGTTGGTTAGAGCGTGGTGCTAATAACGCCAAGGTCGCGGGTTCGATCCCCGTACGGGCCAGCCTCCTTTTCTTTCATCTCACAACTTACCCATGGAGAAACTAAAAACAAATTGTCTGACAATTGTCTAGACAAGAAACACTGCTGACCTCTATAACTACTACCAAAAGTCCAAATCATCCGAGTATGTCCAGAGGTACCTTTTCTTAAGTAATAGTGTTCAAAATGTTTGCTCAAGAGAAGCAGAAAAGCAGCATGACAGGAATTCCATTCCGAGAGAAACATTTTCTTGTTACTTTGATTTCCCAAGAAAGGAGTAAGCCCCTTTTCAAAATCTACATTTTCCACATCAGCAACCCGGTGGTCCAGGTTGGCAACTCTGCTCATTCCGCTTCTTGATGTTAAATATCCCCCCTGTTCCTTGTACAACTAATATCCTCTGTTTATTTACGATCTCACAGCTGTATATCCTGTCGAGTGAATTTTCACCTGTTTTACTATTTCCTGTGGAAAATGCTGATCTCAAGCCACGAGCTCCACGTGGGCTTTGTTAGCCCCACACTACACCTGTGGTTGAGTTCGAAAACTTGTCAAAAACGAAATTTACTGGGCCTCGCCTCCAGACTTTGACTCAGATTTGAGAAGGAACACAGATTTCTGCATTTTAAAAAAACGCCACAGCTCTTTCTCTTAGAAAGGATGGGTCAAGAGCACTTTGAGAAAGCAGTCCTTAGGATTGGATTGAGGGGAAATTGAGAGCCTCGTTGTCCTGATAATTTTATAAACAAAATGGATTTAAAGGTATTATCGGTGACAATTGCATAAAGCTATGCGTACATTTACAAAAAAGAATTTTTGTAAATATTTAACATATCTAAAATAACGCTTTCTTAGGTGGCTCGTTGGTCTAGGGGTATGATTCTCGCTTAGGGTGCGAGAGGTCCCGGGTTCAAATCCCGGACGAGCCCAGGTTTTCTTCCTTAGTTCTCAATCTGGCTCCTTTCACCCAAGCTTAGTTTCTTAAGTTAGAACTTTCCGGTTGTATGTGCCGATAGTTGTGGTATCGATATGCGTTCGAACCCAAAAAACGACTTGCGATCTCTAATTAAGGACTTGTTTTTTTGGCTTCTCTTCGGTTATCCATCCGCTCTGCAGAGACTTTTGCAAAAGCAAACATTTCTGAATCTTCTAGAAGTTCCGACTCCACGATTGTGTTCATATGAAATATGTTCGACATAAAATGGTCACATCTTAATTCAATGCCATTTATTATTAACTCATTACATCAAAGGATGGATTTAAACGGGAAGATCAAGCGCTGAGCTAGAGTCAAGGTGTTAGGAACCTTTGAGTTATTTCGGCTTTCCTCCTTGCTAACCGCGTCGAGTACTACTACCGTCTCGCAGCTCAGCGTTCTGTTTTCTTCTGAGAAGGAGCATTTCATCGAACCTCCTGGAGCATACCGTTGGTATAGTCATCAAGTAGGGTTTTTTTGTTTTGTTTTGTTTTGTTTTTATCTATTGGACTGAATCTACTTTTGCGGTTGGCGGTAAACACAACATATAAAAATCACCGCATCCTATGTTGTAGCGATTTATACTTTAATTGCAACATTATAGGATGTTGCAATTAAAGTATAATTGCAACACTCCCCCTTTTTCTACGTGTGCCTTGATTATGGAGAACAACAAATGAGCAAACACATGGGTCCTGTAAAGGAGGGAGAACACAGCCTTTTCTTGACGGCCACATCCACCAGTAGTAGCAGGAGGGGCAAGAATCGGTGGGTTATGAGAACAAGAGAGGCACACCTCACTGGGCCACAGAGAGGGCCCAGGATAGCGTTTGGTTTCGAGGACCGAGGCTCCTTAGGACTATGCTTGGAGCCAATTGGTAACCCGGTCTGGAGTTTTGGGAGTGCCAGTGTAGGAGTCGCTGATGTAAGCATCTGGTGGCACTAACTCTTAGGTCCTGGAAGCATTATGTTGTCAATCAACACAAATTGGTGAGAATGGGCAAAGGAGGAAAGATGTAGAGAAAGTCGGTGGGGTGCATGTTAATTATTCAGGTATGTTTATGTCCTGTGAATTTCATTTCATCTTATCTATAAAACCAACATAAACAGGAAATCCAGAATCCTAAGGTACAAAAGAAATTACGTGTTTTCTTAGTATATTAGGGAAGACTTAGTTTCAAAGGAGCCCGGCTAGCTCAGTCGGTAGAGCATGAGACTCTTAATCTCAGGGTCGTGGGTTCGAGCCCCACGTTGGGCGTTCTGTTTTAGTGTTTTTGATTTCCCTATTGCTGTCAGTTTTCTCACTGCTGTCCAAAAAAAAAAAAAAAAAAAAAAAGGCATACTTAGAGCTCATCACTCTTGAAGAATGGAATCATGTAGTCATCCTGATCAGTTTAAGCTTACTGTTTTGACTGACTTATTCCAGCCCTCTCTGAAACTCTAGCTAAACTTAGTCTCAGCACTCCCTGGTGTGAATACACTCCTCTGGCCTAGAGGTTTTGTAAAACCAGAAACACTTAAACACAGGTTATGTAGGTTGGTAGTAGGACATGAGCTCTTGTATATTTAACAAATTCCTGGACTGATTCTGAAGCACAAATCCGAGCAAAAAAGGGTTAGGAGGCAGGAAGAAGGACTCATGACCATGAGTAAGAAAGCATACCATACACCTCTTTGTTGATTTCAAATGCCCAATTAGCCACTTACCTTCCTCTCACTTCACTAACATAGTTCTCATGTCTTCCGGTCTCTGGCTCAGGCACCCAAGACTGGCGGAACACCTGAATCACCTGAGACGCTTCTGAAGTTTTAGATTCCTGGGCCCTAACTCAGACTCACAGCATCTGAATCTCCAGTGGTTTAGAAACCATTGCTTTATAAGGTCCTTTTGTATTTTATGATACATATAGCAAGTTGGCTGATTATTCAGTCTAGGAAATCAACGCCTTATGGAAAGCACCATGTTTCTATAATAGGTGTAAGGTATTAGCTTTTTGGGTTGAGAAACTTGATGTATATTTTCCTGACATTCTCTCTTCCCAGTTCAGGGAAATTCCAGAAGGATGAGCTTCTGATTCATAAATGTTTCATGCATAAATGAGACATACTTTTCCATTCACTCATTCCACAAGTTTATTGAGAACCACTAGGTGTTAGGCATTGCTATAGGTGTTGGAAATCCATCAGTGAACAAAATCAAGATCTCTGACCCTCACATTCTACGAAAGGAGGCAAACAATAGGTAATAAGTATAGAAGTAACAAATAAAACGATAAGAAGAGGGCAGGGCGTGGTGACTCAGGCCTGTAATCCCAGCATTTTGGGAGGCCAAGGTGGGTAGATCACCTGAGATTCAGAGTTCAGGACCAGACTGATCAATATGGTGAAACCTTGTCTCTCAAAAAAAAGAAAAAGAAAATAAAATGAAAAAGGTAAGAAGAAAAAAAAAGTCAGCTCCATAGGATGTTACAATGCAATTGGAGGTGCTAGGAATGCAGCAGTGTGTGGTGCAGTATTGGCTAGGGTAGAGCTGGGCCTCATGGAGGCCACATTTGAGCAAAGACAGTCAAAAAATATCAAAAAGAGTTTCTTCTTTGGCTAGAGTAACGGAAAAAATAATTTTTAAATAAAATAATAATAATAAGCAGAAAGAGTTTCTGGGCTGGGTGAGGTGGCTCACGCCTGGAATCCCAGCACTTTGAGAGGCTGAAGTGGGCGAATCACCTGAGGTCGGGAGTTGGAGACCAGCCTGACCAACATAAAGAAACCCTGTCTCTACTAAAAATACAAAAATTAGCCAGGTGCGGTGACACAGCCCTGTAATCCCAGCTACTTGGGAGACTGAGGCAGGAGAATCTATTGAACCCAGGAGGCGGAGGTTGCAGTGAGCTAAGATCCTGCCATTGCACTCTGGCCTGGGCAACAAGGGCAAAACTCCGCCTCAGAAAAAAATAAAAATTAAAAAAGTGTTTCTGGCTGGGTGCAGTGTTTCAGGCCTGTAATCCCAGCATTTTGGGAGTTTGAGGCAGGTGGAATATTTGAGGTCAGAAGTTCAAGACCAGCCTGGCCAACAAGATGAAACCTTGTCTCTACAAAAAATATGAAAATTAGCTGGGTGCGGTGGCACATACCTGTAGTCTCAGTTGCTCAAATCTTCTCCTTCCTCTTCTTCTTCTCCCCCTTCTCCTCCTCCTCCTCCCCACTCTTTCTCTTCCTCCTCCTCCTCTCCCTTGATGTTATAATAAACCTTACCAGGGAAATTTCACTATATTATTTTGAAGCTCAGTATGAAAGATTGTAGCTGTGAGGATTGAGGATAATCAGAAAACAGGCTATCTCACTCAGCTTTCTTCCTTAAAAAACAGGATCTCCCTCTGTTGCCCAGGCTGGAGTATAGTGGCATGATCTCAGCTCACTTCCCAGTGAGGCAGGAAAATAGGGTCGGGAGGCAAGAAACATAAGGCCAATTCACACTTCAGTTATAACAGGAAATATCCTCTCCATAGGGCACACACGTTGTAAATGACTTTGTAACTTTACTTCATCCTCTTCATTTACGTTGGGCATACCCCAAGCAGATGGTATTTAAACTCACAAAAACTCTGTAACAGGGCCTTTGAGCCCTCTGCTCAGGCCACTCCCACACTGTGGAGTGTACTTTCATTTGCAGTAAAGCCCTTCTTTCCTTTGTTGCTCTGTTTATGCGTTTTGTCCATTCTTTGTTCAAGACACCAAGAACCTGGACAGACCCTCCACCATTAACACCAGGCTCAAGTGATCCTCCTCCCATCTCAGCCTCCTGAGTAGCTGGAACTGTAGGCACATGCTACCAGGCCCAGCTAATTTTTGCATTCTTTGTAGAGAGGGGGTTTCGACATACTCCCCAGGCTTAATTTTTTAATTTATTTTTAAAATTTTTATTTATGTATTTATTTTAACATGGGATTTCACCATGATGGCCAGGCTGGTCTTGAACTCCTGATCTCAGGTGATCCACCCACCTCGGCCTCCCAAAGTGCTAGGATTACAGGCGTGAGCCACTGCACCTGGCCATAATTTTTTTCTTTTTTTTTTTTTTTTT